CCATTCTCTGTGGTGATCGCGTTGATCCCGGTCTCTGGATGATTAGGCAAGGGATTCTGGGCGACGTTCGGTGCTTCAGAGTTGAAATGAATCCAATTTTTATTCCGCATTCGTTGTACCAGTCTCTTAAAGACGAGATAGTTTTCAATTGAATGCCCCTGCACGCCTCCATGATATTCACAGTGGGCGTTCTCGTCAAATCATTTTGGATATGGGGGCATTATCGGATCCATTGGGTAGGGTGATACTGCGTGAGTATCGAAGAGTTGTTGATATAACTCTTTATAGCTCATAGGAATGGGATCGAACTGCTCTCTTTCCTTTTTTCTCCTTGGTTCTCTCTGAGATTGGCTAGGAGTACCAGATGGTACAGCTGCAGTTGATTTTGGATTTGAGATCGTAACACCTTTGCTAGCGTTGTAGGTGTTGACATTGTTGATCTCGCGGTCCTTGTTCTTCACGGGAGGTTTTCTACTAGAGTCACCTCCTTCAATCTTTCCTTGTTTTATGGCCAATTCAACCATCTCACCAGCTATGACTAAATCTGAGAAACTTCCCGACGTGATTGCTACCAAATGCCCGAAGTAAGGCGCCTTCAGGGTCTGTACAAACAACTTTCTAGTTTCCTTTTCATCCAAGGGTGGATGAACTTGCACAGATAAATCCCTCTACCTATGTGCGTACTGTCGGAAACTCTCGTTATGCTTCTTCTCAAGGCTTTACAGCATAACTCAGTCTGGTCTCATATCATTGATATGCTTGTATTGCTCTAAGAAAGACTTGGCTAAGTCTTTCAACGTCTTGATATGAGTTCGGCTAAGCTGGTTGTATCACCGGATAGCTGAACCAGACAGGCTCTCCTGAAAGCAATGGATCAAGAGTTGGTCATTTCCCTCGTATCATGTCATCTTCCGACAGAACATAGTGATATGGGTTGAAGGGAAGCTATTCCCGTCGAACTTTTCAAACTCAGGAATTTTAAATTTTGGTGGAAGCACCAAATCGGGAACCAAACTTAGTTCCATTGAATCCACACCATAATAATCATGGTCTCCTTGGACCATCTTCATTTGGTCTTCTAACATCCTGATCTTTTCTTCTATCTTCCTTGCCTTATCCTCTTCGTCAAAATCCGGGATAGGGCAGTCGTCCGGATGACTGTCAGGTTTTACCGCAGAAGTCTGTAAATTTGCCGCTGATGCAGCTTTCCCTTTGGCGGCGGATGAGTCACCTTTCAGTCCGGGTAAGGTCCCGGATGAGACAACCACTTGTGGGGTTGGTGGTATGGTTATCCCCTCAGATGCACCTTCTCTGGGTATATTTGTCTATTGTTGTAAACCAGATAACCTAGCTACGATCTGGTCGACTAGGGACTCCGTGCTTTTCTTAATGGACTCCATGGTACGTTGACTGTTCTGAGCCATTTTATCCTCCAATTCTCTCTTCAGTCTTGCCATGTTCTCCTCAATCTTCTCGATTCTGGCATCCATTTGTTTCTTTTTTACATGAGTGTTGTGAGGGTGATGCGAATCTAATGCTTGCGGTGGTACGCTTGGTGTCTGAGACATGTTCTGTTAGTTAATACGAATGTAAAAACATGAAAAATATAAAATAAAACAAACATGAAATATAAAATGCAAAAAACGCAATGCATGATATATGAAATTTGGAGGCATTGATCCAGAAAAGTGTCCATTATTATAAACAATCCTTATTCAGACAAAAATGTTTTATCTTTTAAGAGACATAAAAACAAATTAAAGGTACATTCGGACTAAATCCTCTAGACCCATAACGGCTTCAAGTAGGTTGACAAGTCTTCTGCCTTCATCTGTCACTGGTTGAATGCCTTGTCGAACCACTCCTGCTTCCCTTGCCAGGCCGTGAAGATGACGAGCCGCCTTCTGTACTTGTTCTAGGAAATCTCGGATGGTTGCGTCTCTGGCCCTTACTCTTCGTTGTGCTTGCTCCCAACGGAAATGCCACTGTAAACCTCCATCAAATGGCACTATCTGAAGCTCGTTCGCTTGCCTTTTGAACCCATCTACGACAAATTCTAACTCAGCTATTGTCTTGCCATCCTTTTCATGTTGTTTCTCTAAGTCCGCCACCCAGATTCTCAAGCGTTGGTTCTGATGTTGACTGTCTGCCAAGTGCCTTTGAGCAGTCTTCAGTTGTTCCTTCCAAGATCTTTCATCGGGCCCCTCGAATTTCCTTTTCAGACTGTGAGCTTCGTCTTTCCAGTATTCAGAGGTTACTTTTAACTTGGAGTTATCCTTGACTTTATCTTGATAGCCTTTTCTTAACTCTTCGAGCTCAAAACTGACTCTTTTCTGTTCCCTTTTCATTTTGTCTACTTTATCTTTCTGTGAGTCGGCATCGAGCTTCCATTGATAACGTTCGACTTCAAGTTCCTTAATTCTCTGCTTCAGCTCGTTATTCACATCTTCAAACTCTGCCTTGGCTATCTCAAGTCCGGAAGGGACATGCCTGAGATGTTCTTCCATAGTTCGAGTATCTTCACAGTCTGGCACCGGGACGTTATCATTCTTTCTCAATCGTCGCCACTCCACATAATCCGGAGTAAGCATGTCTCTGGCAGCAACGACATCCATTCGAAATACTTTCTTCCATGACTCAGATGCTTCCTTGATCATCTTCTTATAACTGTCACCGCTATACACAAACTCTGATTTAATTAGTCTGTATATTACGGGGACAAACTGACATGCCCCATACTTTCTAAGTGCTAACAACATAGTATACCCAACTACACCCCAAAGTTCGAGTAAGGTCATAGTATCAGAATCCCCACACCGAAAAATAACGTCACCGAGGAACAACCAATGGGCTCTCCAAGTAATATCTCGATCTTGAAGATGTATAAAGACTTTCATCCACTTTTCTTTTGAAACACCTTCATGCCACTTCCTAGTGATGAATTCTCCCAAAGGTGAATAAGTGGTGCTAAATCGGCGATAAGCAACCCCGTTAGTCTCCCAGAAGTGGTTGTGAATCCAGACTTAAAGGAGCTGAACACACTGTCTTTCAGTTGGACCCGGAATTGGGCTTTGACTTGAAATAATTGGGTTAGATTCGCCACCGACCACTTTAAAACGAATTTAGGTGGGTCGGATACCATCTTTCCTGATCTGCGTTTTACCATAAATATGTCAGATTCGGGAGTCGGTTACAGTCAAGGAAGGGTTAGCACCCTTGAACTGCCTTTTCGGTACTACATAATTTCCAGTTGTCTTTAGTTAAGAAAAATGTAAATTTAAATTAAGAGGTAAAATAGTGATCCAAATCACTTACCTTAAATTACTTTAATTTCCCTTAAAAGATCAAGAAATATATTAGATAGAAAAAAATGCAAATAAAACACCTAAGGTAAAATGGAAAATAAATGAAATGAGGAGAAAAAATATAGAATATAAAAATAATATATATGATGGTAATAACAATAATAAAGATATAAACAATAGGAAAAAGATACATATATATATATATAATAGTAATAAATAAAATAAACATATGAAATAAATAAAGGAAAGGAAAAAAAATTAAACATGTACATATAAAATGGTAATTAAAAACACAAAGAATATATATACGTAAATATCAAATGTAGTATTAAATAAAACGAATAAATGAAAATAAATATACATACAATAATAAATAATAATAAACATATATACATGCGCACATATATATGATTAAATATTAGGAAAAAGGAAAAAATATAATAATAATACAAAATAGAGTAAAAAAGATATAGCAATTACCATCGAAGGATTAAAAAAAGTGTGAAATAGAGGGCCAAATTAGAAGAAAATCGGGTTTGAATTCGAATTAGGGGTAAAACATAAGCCTGCGAACATGGGACCAAAAGTGGGATTAACCTCATTTAAACTCAGAAACACGCGGGTCATACTCCCTGGGTCGGGTCGCACGGGTCGGTTCGGGTGTTATGGGTCTAGTATATAACTCAATAATAAGCTAAAAATCCTTTCATGTTTTTCATTTGAAACAAACCCCCCTCCCATTTCGAAAATTCTCTTCATTGTTCTTCAGGAATGAAGAACACGGTGGTGGTTCCAGCGAACCCAGAAATCGGACATCGCGCGCCGCCTCGTTGGCCGCCGTTGAACGATGCCGGCCGTTGAACGATGCCGGCGAAAATCCTTTTTTTTTAAAAAAAATCTAAAAGCTTTTTCACCCCTCTTTTTTAAAAATCGAAACCTTTTTTTAAAACGTACGTCTCGGGGTTAGACTTGGGTTCGAAGTTTCGAAACCCGTCCCCCTTTGGTCATCGGCGTTTGGCCTTATTCGAGTCAAAACGAAGAGAATAGAAAAAAAACGAGCCACATGCAAACCAAATAAATCAAAAAGGTAAGCTTTTTATTCTTACTTTTGCTTCGAAATTATGCAGAAATGCTTAAAACGTTCGTTCTTTGCGTATCTCGGCTATGAGAATTGTTTGTATTGCGTGTACTTCGAATGAAATTTCCACTGTATAATCGTGTGATTTTTTGTATATCAATCCCCCAAAAACAGTATGGATTACAATATATTTATAGTGTTCATCTACTCCTATTTTTAGGCTATAACAGAGTCCTACTTGAACTAATCCTCGAGTTGCTTGGTTGTGGTTGAGGGAGCCGTGAAAATCGGCGGTGTACTCAGTCGAGGGAAGCGTGGAAAGTGTGGACTCTCCATGGTGGAGGCTTGCGGCGCTGTGTAGCAAAGTGTGAAGCTAGGGTTTCCCAAACCCTAGCCTAACCAGTTCAGGTCACGGGCTACTGCCCTTCTTTGTACAAACACCGGGCTTGGGCCTACAAAACAAAAGAAAATAAATAATGAATAAATATATATATATATATATATATGTGACAGAAATGACTTGTCTACGGAACCCAAGATGGAATTTTTCATACACAACCACAAAAGCTTTTAAACTCAAAAACCATTAAAGAATTCAAAAGTGAAGAAGAACGAACCAATAATATTGGGAATGTAAAGATAAACGGAGAGTAACAATTAGCCTAAATAAGAAGAAATTGGATCTGGAAGAGCAAATAGTTGAAGTTTTTTGGGTTTATGAAAAAAAACAAACATGAATCTGAGAAATGTGAAAGCCCTTACCTTTACAGCCAAAGTTTCGACGAATATAGTTATTTTTCACAGCCTTTGAACTTATTCCTTCTTAAAGTTTTAATCTTTGTTTAATCACAGTTGGGAAAACAATAATCTTTAAACTTGCTCGTGGAATAAATTGATAACTGTCTTGTAATCTTTGGAGTTAATAAAATACGGTTCTTCGAGCTCTTTCATTCGTGGCTCACTTGGGAAAAGATTCTTCTTTTTGAGTAAAATACACAAACAATCCTTCATTTATTCTTTGATTATAGCAATCTTTATTAGACAATAAGAGATTCCAGCAAATATAGCAATTAATTGTAGTAAAGTTGGCCCACAATTTTATACCAATCCCAAATGGTGTGACACAAACTTTGGACGTTACAACTGAAAATTTATAATAAAAAAATGGAAAATGTTTAATTAAAATATAAGATTCTTATTGAATTTGTAAAAATTGAATAAGGTTTTATAAATTTGTAAGAATTAAAAAAGTTTGGTGCTATCTGATATTGGATAAGGGCAGCTCCATTTATGCTGTCAGCTTCACCAGTCCTTAGAGCAACATCATCCCATCCTATTTCTGCAAAATCAAGTTTTTCCATAGGAGAACTCAGTGAAGTACAGCATTCTAAACTAATGGTCACACGATGTGAAGTTAGAGTTTGTGATTCTATAACCATATTAAAAAGAATGAATCCTATTACCATATTAAACACAGATTAGCTTGTGATTCTAAAATATCTGACATAACGTTGGAAATTTTCTCACCGGTCACTGCCAAACCCAGAAATAATAGCCCTAAATAATATCAAAGGATCAGTCGGTGACTCATAATGAGTAATATATTATTGCAACCAGTGCGCCACTACCTAGTCAATAATTTCAAGATCAGATCCCTGTAAATGTCTGTTCAATTCATTTTTCTATTTCTTCTTGTTTAATTACAATGTCTAATATGCCAGTACCACCTAAAAGGCGCAACCAAACAAAAAAAACTAATGAACATCCACATGGCTTGCTTGCTTTCATCCATCATCATCATCAAGATCGGATCTCCCCTTTCCCTTTTTTTTCCAGGAAAATTCTGGTCCTGCCTAGGAAACTAATGCCTCTATGCTACCTTTCTTAGCTGTTTTACAAACGGGGCAAGAATCAAGAAAGCCCGAGCAATCCTTGCACGAACAGAGGTGCCTGCACGGGAGGAACAACACGCACGAACCTTGACGATAGCAGCATTTGCAAACCATATTTGTTCTTTCTTCTTCGTCGTGTTCTTTTCTTCGATCAGCTTGGGAAGCAGTGTTGTTGTTTTCCTCCTGTACGCATTCGCAGCAAGATTCTGCATCGTCGACGCTGATGTTGAACCGACAAGAGGCTTGCTTCCGTAGCTGTTCGAGCCGGTTGTTCAGAGACAGAACCATAGCTTCATTCTCCTGCGCCACTCTCTGCCACGCTTGACTCTCCATCTCGAGTCTTCCCAACAGATTCTGCAGCTCCATTGCTTTGTTATTCGCCTCTGCAATCTCTTCGTCTTTTTGGTTGAGTAAAACACACGCCCTCGATTCCATCTTCTTCGCCATTAAAGCCAATTGCTGCCTTCTCTGCTCTTGCAGCAACAATCTCAGCCTCTCATTCTACAATCAAAAGAACGAAAATTAACAACCCAATTGAAAAGAAATCCCAAGATTGAAATTTTCTTCTTCTTTTTCGTCGTTGCTAACCTGTAATTTGATGAACTGATCAATCTCGACTTGAGAAACCATGTTTTGGCTAAACACCATGGATTCAAGATCATGGTTTCTCTGCTTCTGGTTTTGTAGACACTGAAACTGCTGCTGCTGTTGTTGCAGTTGCTGCAAGTGCGATAACTGATGAACACCTAAACCGAAACTGGCACCGGCACCACAACCATTATCGATCAAATCCAAAGAACCGCAAAATGGAAAGCCGAAGTTATCAGAATACAGCTGCGCTTGTACAGCCATGTTCCCCTTGATTCGTTCTTCTTCAACCACCAAACAAAAACAAAACAACACCTCAAAAGAACCAAAAAGAAACAATCTTTTTTCTTTTTAATCCGCAAGTCTCTTTGTTGTGACCATATATCAGATCGAAATCTGGGATGGGCTTTTGCAGTTCGGATCAAAGGAACTCAAAAGGACACATGAAAACAAAAAGATGGTGAAGGGTGTTGGTGTGTATTTATAAGAGAGAGGGGAGGGTGAGATCACATAATGGATTTTGATTTTAATTTACAATTAAATGAAAAAGCAAGGAAGGAGCGCATAGGATAATATATAACGATCGTATAGGAATGCAGATGCCACGTAATCGACGTACACATGCAGGTTTTAGTTTCATGACAACACCTGTTGTATCAATAATTCAAATGCAAATTATTTTTTTAATAATAATCCAAATAACTTGAAGGTAACCGAAAGTCTTATTTGGCTTTGCCGCCACTGAGGTAGACCAATGAACCTGGATTTAAATAATATAATCTATCAAGATAAGTGCACTCCAAAATTCATTTTATTTTATTATTTTATTCTACCTATAACCCACGTGGAAAATATTGTTTATTATATTGTTCTTCGCCTTGTCACGTGAAAATAATTGATCCACAACTTTCCTTGTACATTTAAAAAGACAAACAGTGTAAAAAATTATGAATATTACCATCTTTTAAGGTTTTTTAATTCAAATATCACTTATACGACGGTGGTATGTGTATATGGTATATGAATATTGTTTTTGATTATATAACGAATCCAAAATTTGGAGGTATTTTTAGAAATATTTTTATCCCATTGACGCCAACCAAAACGAAGGGTTAACATTCATGCATCTCCTCAATAGTATTGGTATAATCAATTATTGTTGAAGTTAACAATTACTTTGATGGTTGATGTAATAATTCTTAAACTTAGTAGATTCAATTTTTTTAGTAACTTGTCCTATTTTTATGACATGACTTCGATTTTTTGTCAAAGAGTTTGTGCTGATCGGCTCAATTGAATTAAAACATATCGAATCAGCATATCACATCATATAACACAAGTTGGTAAAATATTTTACATGTTTATATTAGCTAGGTTTAGACTTTAGAGGAGTGATTTGAAATCGGGAGAATCTGAGACTGACATAAATGGCAGAAGACAAATCGTTCGTGGAAATGTAGAAAGAAGAACGGATCGATTAGCATCGAGAATCTTCAACTTTTTATCCCCCGACATATCTGTCACCCCAAACTCAAAAACTGTACAATGTCAGCAAGATTCTAAGGGACAACCTCGGCGATTTGATCAAACTGACATCCTTTAATCGAATATCTCTCTTTTTAACATCGTTTGATCTATATTTTCTGAAGTGACACTTTTTTGGCTGAGGTGGCGAAAGACGCATCCCCGGGGACGCGCTTTACCTGATTTTACGTTAAATTGGATGCCACGTGTGAAAGGCACATCCCCGGAGACGCGTCTTCACAGGATTTTGTTGATTCAGTTGTCACGTTATATTATTTTTAATAATAAAAATTTTATTTTTATTGTTATTATAAATTAGTAATATATTATGTAAATTGTTTCAGTTATAATTTAATAATTATCGAATGTATTTTTTTAATGTGTGTTAAAGGTAGAGTGTATTATCCACATTAATCGGATAGAACAACAGATGAAAACTAGTTTTTATTTTATTGTAGTTATATGAAAAATGTATAAAATTATTATATTACACGTATGATTATATTATTATTTTTTATTTTTATTATCGATCTATTAATTTTATCACTTAATTATTTAAATATTATCAATCTAGTCATCTGTTATTATTATTTAACCAAAATATTGATGCATAAGTTAATAAAATTAGTATAATTACGCATTTAATCTGTTATTATTATTATACATTGAGAAATTATAGAAAATGCAATTACATTTAAATATTAGAAACAAAAACATTCATTTAAATAGAATATTAGGTTACATAAGGGTTAACGGTTATGTGATGATAATAGAGCTGAACATTTTTTTATATTGTGTCCGATGTTTCTACAATGCCCACATCGTTTTTGTTCTGTTGACTTCTCCCGAATATCCATATCACAATGTATTCTAGTAGATTTTGGACAACCTGAGTCCCTCAATAGCAATGGATCTGGTACAATTGTAAGCCAAGTTTGAATCTCATCTGGGTCTATTTCGTTTCCTATGGGCAGAAAATCAAATTCATATACCTTGAATACTTGTGAAAGTTGGTATACGGGATCAACATAATTTTTGTAGTCCAAATGCGAATGTGAGCAAGCTGCAATGACATGAGAGCATAGATATTTGAGTGCTTGAAAGAAACCACAATCGCACCACCTCTCATGCAGATTAACTCTGAAAGAGTTAGCTTCAATCCCTTGCAACGGACATGGCATTTCGGTTACACGAAACAATTCACGGGTGCGAGAAAAATTTGTAACCAACATCCCATTTGATGCATCCATTTTTTTCTGTAAATCAGCTACTAGTCTTGGGTGGTAAATATGACCGTTTTACATCCAAGTAAGAGCTTGTCCACCGAGCTTTGCAAAGAGTTGACCCAAACGAAAATAAGTCGTTTTGACCAATGTCGTGACTGGTAAATGACGCATCCCCTTTAAGGTTGAATTTATTGCTTCAGCCAAGTTTGTTGTCATATGACCATAACGATACCCCCGGGAACTATTCATGTCAATACCTATTATTCCTTAGGGGACTTTAAAGTGCGTTCCTGGGGAACTATAGATGGATGGTGAAATCAGGTAAATTATAATCAAAAATTTAACTTCTTTTAGAAGTTCAGCAAGTTAAGGTTAAAATAATACATATAGATAAATTTAAGTTCATAACTTAAATTAAAACGTTATGTGAAGTTTGAATAAATTAGATAAAATGTTATGGATAAATTGAATAAATGTGAAGTGATAAGTTTATTGTGACATCGAAATTGTATGGAATGAGCATCGACATGTTTTTACGAATAAATGTGAAGTGATAAGTTGATTTTAATGTATATGTTTTAATATATATGTTAATGATAAAAATCATATGTATGGATAAATTTAATTTCAATTTAAGTACTGTGAACTATAATTGGAATATAACTTTTAATTTCGAATACAATTGGAATATTAAGTTGAATTTAATGTTAAATTTTGAATACTATAATTTATATTTTAAATTTAAATTTCGAATAATATTATTTGTATTTTAATTTTAAATTTCGAATACTATAATTTGTATTTTAAAAACATTAATTAAACATTTAATGTTAAATTTGAATAAAAAATAACATTAAAAAAATTGGCAGTAACAACCATGAAACATTTAAATAACATAACCAAATTACATAAATTTCTGAAATATAACTATTTAAATAACATTAAAATACAACTGGATCACCGATGTCATCTTCTCGAATGAGTTCCACATGGAGGTAGTTGTCTATTTCGCGGAGGATTTCTTCGTGGAACTTGTTCTTCAGTCTCCTCATCTTCAATATCATCATCATCAGTATTTTCTTCATTTGGCGTAGCTGACGCTGAAGGGCCTGTATAAAATAACGACCCTGGAGGAGTGCTAGTAACCATCCCACCGCTCCCCGAGAACTGTGAAAACTGTGGAAACATTGGCATCGATGTCTGTGATCCAGATGGAGATTGAGGTGTCTGAGGAGAAGCACCACTAGGCAAATAAGATGCATATGAACCATATGTTGGATCATTAAACATAGCCGTATATGCACCTCCATATGGTATAAAACCCTGCGGGCTAGGCATGTAACCTGGCGGACTAGGAATGTAACCCTGCGAAGATGACATATGAACTGGTGGGCTTGGCATATACCCCTGAGGAGATGGCATCTGAAGTGGAGGGCTGGGCATGTACCATTGTGGCATCGGTGGATAAGGATGTTGTGGTGGGACTGATGCAGAACCGGTAGCACCTTCTCTCCGTCCATGTGTCGGGGGACGATGATAATGAGACGATTGACGTCTTTCTCGGCGCTTAGGAATGCTAACCCCTCGTGCTTCTGTCGAAAGTAGAAACGGCTTCCCATTTTCATTAAACCAGTCCATATAGTTATCCATAACCATATGACCAGTTTCAGCATAATATTGTCGAGGGGACAACTGTGCATACCGGTTCTCCCAAAGCGCAATCCAATCTCTGTGTCTCACCACCCAGTTAACATATTTCTTTCCTCGTCTATCTATGTTATGCACGTCGTCTAAATTCCTAGGTGCTCCAGGAATATATTGCGTACAACCATACTGACGAAGCACGCGATCAACTGGATGCCACTCAATAATAGCATAACCTATAAGAGGTATAACCGATATTCAAACCTCTAATGACCCACCAAGGTGGGGTGGGATGCAAGCCTTCACTTCATCGCTCACATAAGGTATCCATTGAAACTGAAATATAAATATACAATTCAAATAAATAAAATATTCTAATTATATGTAGCATTTTAAATTAAAATATTAATATTTAAACAGGTGTAAAAACATACCTCAGACCCAGCTTTTGTATCAATAAGTAGACGAATTTCCTATAACCCAATAGGTATACTTCTATGGTTCTTTCTTTTCATCGACCACCTATGAAATATAATATAAACTAAATATCACCCTATTTAATTAAAAATATTTAAATCGAAATTTAGTTCGATAATTACCTCAACAATAAGGGGAATACATATGGTTCATTCACGATCAAGCATAAGAAAGGCATGCGGAACCACGCCCATGATTGCAGAAGCTGGAGACATCCACCGATAGCAGTTTTCTTATAATTCGTCGCCCGACACATTTCTCTAAAGAGAAATGCCAAAACTGTAGCGCCCCAACTATATCTTTCAGCTTCATCAAAATCGATCAGATGTCGCAACCACATACAATGCACCTGGTTGCGAGATTTGTCGGACATCAATATTCCTCCAATTATTCATAGAATATATGCCCGAGCACATGCCTTTGCTTGATCATCTGAAGCATTTTCATTTAAAACCTCAAAATTAGCTTTCAACCAAGATAAAGTTATTTTACCTCCATTAAACTCTAGCGGAGCAGCTCCAAGATAACCAATGCACATTGACTGCCAATCACCATCTGCCATACCACACATCATATTTCTGTCGACGGGAAGCCC